AAATCGATTTTCAGTGACATATGTATCACTTTTTTTTCCTACTCAATAGTCGTAATTTTCAACATAATTGTTATTTCGCCAGCAATACTAAGTTACGAACATATCGAATAGTCTTGTTTTATTAACAAAGTAAGTTAACCTTCTACGTACGTATTTTTGTTTGAAGTGAGTAAGTGTTAGATTCTTAGTCGTGCCGAACTCGTTGTCGTCATTCTTCTTTGCAAATTAGGTATATAGTACAATGGGCGTCAGCGGAGAAGTTAGTCAAAGTGAAATGCTGGAAATCAATCGATCCTTTCGTGAATTTGATCAAGACAAAAATGGTTATATAACCAGAGATGAAGTAAAAGAATGTTTGAAAAAAGCAAATGTACGTGCACTGGATGCAATAGTTGATCATACTCTAAAAGAAATGGATCACAGTGGAGATGGACGAGTGAGTTATGCTGAATATCTCAAATTTATGACGGCTGTCTATCTTGGTGAACATAGTGATTTGAAAAGACAATGAATGGGTGTAGTTGTGGTCGACAAACAGTCCTAGGCTTTAGCTCTGAAACAACTCACTGCTGTAGTAGTTTTTAGTACGAGATGTTTAGAACTATTTTAATCTTTCGTTTTCTCTTAGTTGTTCATTAGTGTTTAAGTTTATGAACTTACAATAAACAAAGTAGATTGGTTATGCTTTTCTCAAGAAAACATTATCAGGATAGACCTCGAGAGGTCTTGAAAGCGAAGCTCCTTTCTCTACATGATGTTTATTGCTATAACTTGATGACGAATATAATAGCCACAGTGAAGTACATTGCATACTATGTATATCTATTGAGGGAAGGGAGTCATCGAAAAACTCCTTCACGTGTGCGATTTGCGCTGTCGACATCCGAGAAATAAAATTGCATTAACTTTTCTCGTACTGAATAGACTTTCTCAAATTTCTTTTGTTTTATTTGTCTAACCTTTGCCCACTACCGCTAAAAAGGACAACTCTCTAGCCGCTTTCGTCGTCGAGATATAATTGTCGCAGGTGGAGGCTTTGAGCGTCGTCTGCCATTGAAACATGAATTTTTTTCTACAGACTGAATGAGTTCTAAATCTTTTTCTTATGCATACTTGAAGTAGACTAAAGACTAAGTTTCTCAAAATATGTAAATGGATTAACGGTTTGGTGCAATTTTTTATACAAATAAATCAAAATAATGTTGTTATAAACACTTTGGTCTTTTTCAGTCCCGTGAGATTGAATTTCGCGTATCTCAGTCAAAACTAAACGTAATCCTTATCGAAAATAGCCAAAAGGTAGTCCACAATTTGAGAATCATTTTGATAAAAAGAAGTAACAGACCAGTGCTCTTCTTACTGTAAAAAGTGGCAATTGCTTGTTCAAAAACGAGCTTTGCACACTAAATGTCCTGTGAGATTTTCGATTTTGTTTTTCCAAATTCGTTCATACTCTACTTTTCTCTGTGATTTTCTCGGCGTTTTTTTCTCCAATAATTTGGAGTATGTGCCCAATTTTTATGTCGACAGACATTTTGTGTTTTTTGCTGGGATTTTTGTTTTTTACGTTCTTCTTTCTTTCGTCCCTTTTTTTTTGACAAAATGTGCACCTCGTGGTCTAGCGAACTGTGTTACGTAGAAAACGTCCGAAAACGGAAGGATAATCTCCCGGGAGATTGATCAATGCACGTTCTTTTTCCAAACATAGGTCCAGATTTGGTGCCATAAGCTATAGAAGTAGAACTAAAATGTTTTTTGGACTTAGAAGCTTTTCGTATATTCATAAGAGTTGATTGTCCGGCGCGATTTGTTCTTGAGACGAAATATCAAATAAGTATATCTATATTGATTTGATTTACGCAATATATTATTTATAATATTCATATTTATATATATTTATATATGTATTGAGTAAATCAAAGCAAAAAATGTAACGCTCACAGCCTACTGAGAAGGTCTACTTGAAGCAGTAGGTTCAGTCAGAGGCGGAGTCTGTCGACATCGCAACTTGTGCGCAGCGCAATTGCTCTGTAGTTTTTTTCTTTTTTTAAACTTTAACTCTCATGTCTCCAGTCCCATAGCCACTGAAATCGGGTTCCCCCCATTGCATCTGTACCCAAAAGTACCGAGACAATGAGCATAAGGTGGCTTGTTCCAGACTATCGCGCGACCGCCGCTGCCGGGATTCGAACTCCGTATCTTTGAAGTACGTTGTCTGCTCAGTAGCCGACTGAGCCACGCTGCTCGAATGACCAAAGTTGAGGTTTAAAGTATAGAAAGGCCACTTTGAATGATTTTTCTGATACTACCCGAGATAGATGCCAATCCAGAACAGAGATCCACACGAGCCAAAAATTTCAGGCCCGGTCTGACGAAGTAAGTTTCTGGACCAAGCCCAGCTCGGCCCAGCTAAATCTGAAATTTAACTGGTCCGGTCCGACCACTCTTGAAAATTTTCTGTTTCCAAGCGGAAGGTTTTTCTTGCATCTGTAACGCTTGCGCTTGCTATATGGTGTAAATGTATTTCTCAAGCTAATGTTTATATTTTCATTTTTTCAACTTTTATAGACATAAGGTAAACTTAATATTCAGGTACATATATGAAAACAAGCACAAATAGTACAGCATTGATCCCATTTATGTTAAACATAATGATTTCGCTGATCTATTTAACCATAATAACAGAAAACACGTTGCTTTATAAAGCGCAGTTGAATAAACTGACCCACGTATTCTGTTATGCGACCCAAGAAAAATTCTTGATCCGGCCCGACCCGACTGCCGAAAACTATTCGGTCCGCGCCCGACCGCTCTATAAAGTTTTCTAGCTCGGCCCATCCCGGTCCAACCAAAAGCCCGGCCCGTACAGCTCTCTGATCCAGAATATTGCCACTTTAGTTACTTACTAATCTTCTTGTGACTCTCTGAGACCACGTCTAACTGTAATCCTGGATAGTCTTCTAGTGTTGAACATTTTATATGTTTGTAGCATAACACAAGAAACGCCTCTTTCTAATAAATACTTTGATCGTTCCATTATCCGACAACGTCCTCACTTAAATGATAAATCGAGCCTCCAAATGTTTTGAAGTCCTTATAATGATCAATGTTATTGCACTTAGTGATTAATGGTTGGAATCAGCTAATAATTGTTGTTATCCTATGGCGTTTCATGCTGCCAATTGCCGAAGATTACATCAATTGATTGACTGAATTTATATGTGTTTAAATAAATGTTGCTGTGAACTATCGCCATTTTATTCTTCAATGTTTCATGCTCGAATGTCTCATCGATTTCGATTATTAGATTATACAATAGCAGGTACCATTAGCGTATCTAAAATTATACGCGAGATGAATAATGAGAGTGCTGCTACGTTACAGAGATACTGATATTGATCTACAAGAAATATTAAATTTGTCTATCAAAAAGCATTCATGAAGGTTAGATTTCAGATTCCAACAAGCAACAATTTTATAAAATTACTGACTCTTTTCTCTCTGTTATTTTTGATGATCATGATGATACTCGATTGACATGTATAAAAATTGATGGTTGATTCAATAGTACGACTTTCTTTATACAAACGAGATCAGTGAGAATATAAGCACACTCTCGAGCGCTAGTGAAGAGGAACAGTATCAAAAATGGCAATAGTCAAAAAATTTCGGCCCACCCAGAAAGCCGTCAGCTTTCAAAAAATTTCTTTATCATGTTTAGATGTGTTTAAAGTTTTCTATTAGCAGCCATTCTGCAAGTTTGTCCATTGCAAGTAATGAGTACAACTAGTTAAAATCCACGTAAAAATATTGCATTTAATGCAAATAAATCCATCATCTAATTTACCAGAAAAATCGCCCGTGCTCAGTTCATCTCAACTTGCTAACGAGATGGATGAACTCAAGAGTATGATCAAATCGAAAGAATTTGTCTCGACAATCGTCACATCTACTCTATCTCAAGATACATTAATTAGTTCAAATGTTAATAACATCATCGACGGTGATCCATTCCAAAAAATAATTAATGATATTGTTGAACAGAAAATTGCATCTTTCGAAGAACGTATTCAACAACTTGAAAATACCATCTCAGTATTACGAGAAAGTCGTGATCTTTTGAAATGCAAATTTAACGATCTCGAACAATGCAATCGTCATTGTTGGTTTCGTTAGTTACGCTGTTCACGAAGCGACCAAAGAAGATACTGTTGAAATTATGAAAGACATTGGCAAAACAATCGGTGTCGTCATTGAAGACAGGGACATTTATGCATCTTATCATCTCGGTAAAGGTAAAAAACGTCCCATTATTGTTCACTTCTTACGTTATCCTATTAGGGAACTATTTTTTAAACATTGATTCAAATTAAATCGAAGTCAAAACTACAAAAATGTATTTATCTATGAAGCTATAATCATTCGATTTTATTTTCGATGTATGCACATGAAGAACTTGACATACATATATTTAGCAAAAACGGCTATAGTTTTTGCCCATCAGGGGATGTTCATATTCATGGTTTATACTTCCATCTGTTAGCGAGTTGTCTGTTTGAATGATGATGTAGAATAAAGAGTATGTTAGTACTGCTTTATATCGACATTCTTCTTCTCTAATTCTCTCCGTGTGTGATTAAAGAACATGTGTTTTATTTCGGTGTGCTTTCTTTCTGTATCTCTTCTTGTGTATACAAGTTAACGCTTGTCTGAACTCCCTCGATCCGTTGACTTTAGGACGTTATATATGCGAACGACCTTCCATGACTATGAATCAAAGACAAAGCTCACATCTCCTTTCGATCGGTGTTCGCTGTCCAAAATATATTATAAATTTTTCTCCGATTTGATGTGTAAACTTCGTAATCTAATATAAATCTAAAACGTTTTCTCATGACCCTTCAAAGGTCCTTAGAGGTCTAAAAATATTTCCTAATTCGTTTTCTGAACATCCAACCTGGAGATTCCAACGAAGTGAAAATATTTCTGATCGATTTCCTAAGATAGATTATCTATATTTTGTAAGTTTTAGTATCCGTAGACAACGATTTTTGTGTTATCAAATTTCGACTGATTTCTGCCGACATACATCTCAAAACTATAGAAAAAGTTTGCTTAGCTTTTTTTCTCTCTGCATTCGCAGATATTTAGGCCATCTCTTTGAATATATTCTCTCTCGTGATTAAAAAGAATTTTCTGCATTCTCTCTTGTGATTGGTTCATCCATCGAATATCTGATAGCCATTTCTCCGTATTTTACGCCCATATCGACGATCCCAATCCGTGTGCGCCTAGTTGCACGTGCGAGTATCTTTTCTATACCAATGGCATCACATAATAAGTCGATTAGACATCGTTGGGCAACTCACTCAATTCTTCTGCTTGACGCGAACAGTATTTCTGAAAAACTTGAACCAAATTCGAAAAATCCGTTATCTCTTCTAAAGATTGATTTTTACTCTGATGGAATTATTTGTTTTGCTGTAATTTGTTATAGACCTGGCTAAACTGAATACCAAAAGTTTAATGAACATCTATCAGATGTATTATCTCAAATTCGCTTATAGTCTCCATATCAATATGATTCACTCTTATTTTTAGGCGGCTTCAGCTACCACTCAGGGAAGTGGAGCCCGTCTAAACCATCTACTGTTGAAGGTGGTGCGCGGCTTGGCTGTATGAGTCTCCTACCACAGTATGATTCCGTCCTGGTTTTTCTGTATTTTGTTTCTCTTACAGTTCTCAAACTAAAATACATCCAGAGCTCCGAAACATCTTAGATCAAAGAGAAAAGTGTGCTCAATATTTTGAGAATATTTTTGCAATATTTTTCCTAGTCAAAACAATGTCGATCAACATACTATATTAAAAACAAAATGCTACCTTGACCTTATTTTAACTAATAATGTTACTACTGTGAGTGACGTGAAAGTGACAAACTCTTTATCTTCATCCGGCGATCATTCCATCATACAGTTCAACATCTTTAAAAAAATATGAGTGGATTTTGAAAATAATAGGAAAATATACGATTATGTTAATATTGGGGTGCTTATCATGATAGTTTAGCTGATATTGACTGGTTTTCTATTGTTCGACAACATTCTTCTTTATACGATGAGATCCAAGCTTGGATGGAGAAGTTATTATTTTTAATGACTTTTAATCCGTACCATACGAATTTCATCATAATCCATGACTTGGCAGCACGTATCATATGATCTTGCTTCGTAAAGATAAGACCAATTTCAAACGTCTAAATTGCTGAATTCAGTTCTGAAACAGGTCTGTTCTCTCGGTGCTATAAGTAGCAACACATTTTTCAAAAATGTAGATATAATTCGGAGAGTCATACTTAGCCTAAAGTTTACATTTTGATAAGCCTTTTTGGGGACTTTTTTTCTACTTTTTGAAAGTCTACACATTTTAAGAATCTTCGCATAACGATTGATCGTTTATGAATTGATCTAATAGAAGCAGCCTGATGTATTCGAACTTTCACGTTTAGATAGTATATGTAAGAACTATTTAATCTTTCTTGCTACATGTGAATATACTTCGAAACAGAACATCAGTAGATACGTATCAGTGTGTGAGATACGTTTACAGAATGGAAATTAAATAATTTTCTTATTGACATCATACGAACATGATACTCTATTATGAAACATCAAAGTGTTTGTATATATTTTGTTTTATTCTATTAACACAGAACGAAACATTTCTATACTGGGATTTTTCCCAGTACGATAGAGTATGTTCTTTACCTGTGACTGACTATTCAAGAGGAAAAGAGAGTAATAATGCCATATTAGCTCCATTCGAAACTAGAAAGGTAGGAGAACAATTCGCACTTATGGCTGAGATTATGCATTCATAAAGTATATACGATAGGTTTAGACTCAAGAGTAAGATTTGTAACTTGAACCTATTTGTTTTCATTATTCCGTTTCACACACTTGCTTACAAGAATTTTGTTTTAAACAATTCCTGATCTTTTATCTTATGCTCTTTAATAGCGATCATTATTATATCTCCAACTAAATATGTTTATATGCGTATCTACACGCATATACCACAAACTCGTATGAGTCATTATGTGTGTCAAGAAATGGTTAGTGAGTGAATGAATGAAAAAAAGAAGAAAAAGGTGCTCTGGTCTTTTGACATCAAAAATGTATACATGTACACATGAGCCATTAGAGCTCTACCGTTTAGTGTATCTTTATCTGTTTCTTGATGTCGCATACAGATTAAGCTTTCTTTTCTGTATGTATCCTTATATCTGACATACAGATATCGGCATGCGACATCAAGAAAAAGATAAAGATATGTTAAACGGTAGAGCTCTATTGTTTTGTGTTCAGTGCAACATGAAAGGAGAAAGAAGAGAAAAAGTAGACATTCAGATCATGTGTACTACACATGATTTGAATGATGTGATATTTTCAAATACTAATAAACAACAAATAGATAATTTTTTCTGCTTTTTTCTCGTAAACTGCTATTTATCACCCTCTCTGAAAGAGCATATTATATCCTCGTATCAGTAGTTCATCATTACACTACACAATTTGTTGTTCTCGTATAAGAATATACTGGTGGTAGCACCATCTATCTATCTATCTATATATATAAAGAAGAAAGTTTGTTTGTATGTTTGTTTGTATGTTTGTTCTCTATGCATTCAGTCCCTGTAAGAGCTAAAGCAGCCAAAATTTGCATGGCACACCCTTGGGTCC